GGAGGGGGTGAAGGGAGGGTGGGGACAAGGGAAAAAAATGAGAACAAAGACCTGGCATGTAAAGGTACAAGATCCCAGTAATGAATGTAACTGTACTGTCTACCTAGAATGTACCAATAAATTCAATTAAAGAAAAAAAAAAAAGATTAGACAGTGAGGTTGTAGGGCATGAAACCAGTGTGTAAAACAGGTGAGGTGATGACAGATGCAGAACTAATGTTTAGGGGTTAAATACACTAAATTCACTTACTGTGTTAGATGAGCCCTCTTTTTTTGTAGATTAGTTGTTTCTCAATCGGCTTCATCTTTCTCCTTCCAGCTCCAGGAGGCCTTCGGTTGGGAGCCATTCATCCGTCTCTTCACCGAGTACAGGAACCAGACCAACTTACCCACAGACAATGTCGACAAAATGAATCTGTGGGTCAAGATGTTCTCCCACCAAGTACAGAAGAATCTGGCTCCGTTCTTTGAGGCCTGGGCCTGGCCTATCCAGAAGGAAGTGGCTACCAGCCTGGCCTACCTGCCTGAATGGAAAGAAAATATTATGAAATTGTACCTTCTCACACAGATGTAAGGAGTGCCCATCGAGGTGGCAGGTAGAGAGGTTTGGGGAGGTAGGCAGAGGTGGGAATCACTCCTCCACCTCTGTCTTCTAGGGTTCTGCCTTGCCCCTGTGTCTTATCACCAACTTCTGTCTGTAGGAAGTAAGCTGAGAAAACAGCAAAAGCGGATTCAGGATTTCTCAGGAACAAGGCCTTCTCCTAAGCACCCTGTTTCTTTCCTCTCAGCTATCAGACTCCTTCCTGTCCCTGTACGGCCCAGTCTGGGAGTCTATGCCAGGCTTCAGGCCGTCCTCATGGGCTTTAGCCATGAGGGTGTTTCTCAGCTGCACATCTTAAGGACTCTCTGGATTTATTTTTGACCATCTGATCCAAAACTCTGACCATAGAACTTTACTGGATCACAAATTTACCACGACAATCAGACCATTGCTTGATGCCTCGCATATTATTTGTCCTGGGTAGTTTTCAAAGCACTTGAAAAGCCGACTGTTTTAGTGGGGAAAATCTAGAACTAGGGTCAGCTCTTCGTTTCTCCCTGTATTCTCATTTTCTTGTATGTGAAACGGGGATACAAATCCCTGCCTCTCGGAATTGTCACAAAGATGCAAATGTGTAATTTGAAAGAGTTCATGAACTTTACGGTGCATGGCATCTGAGAGATTGCTTTACTAAACGCTGCTCTGCAGAATCACAAGACCCTGTTTCCATTCCTTTCTCACAGCTTAGAGGTTAAGATCATCGTTTCCGCAAGTAGATGCCTGGCATTCAAATCCTGGGTCTTTCATCTATTAGTTGTATGACCCTGGCAAGTTTCTTAACTTCTCTGTAACTCAGTTTCTTCATTCTATAAAATGGGATATATTTCATGAAATTATTGTGAAAATTCCATTTTATATGGCCTCTAAACATGATTAGAACAGTAGCTGGCAGTTAGCTATATTGAGGAAATGTAAGCTGATTTTATAATGAAGTAACTCAGTATCATTTGAAAGTTGGACATCACTCTTTGATGATATTTACAGGTACAGTTGTAAGTTTTTGTTTTTTTAAACTGGTACATAAAAGTGTGCATATATATATATATACATATACATATATACATATACATATATATATATATATACATATATCATATTAAACACATCTGTCTCCTCAAACATCTGTCATTTCATCATACTACTGAATCAAAATCTTCTCTTCTAGCTTTTGGAAATATACAGTACATAATCGTTACCTCTCCTGGCCCAGCCTATAGTTTATGCACCAACCCCCAGAAGGACTCAGATTGTTTTATGACTCTAAAGGAGGGACTCTAAATATACAGTGGGGGTTTCAAAAGCTATTTACATTTTGACCACCCTACCTAATTCTATTTTTCAGACCAAATTCCTTCTCTGATTAGTTTCAGAATGGCAATCTTAACAAAGACAAGGAAAATTCCAAGATTGTGCTTGTCCTTACCAAACCATGTGGCTTCATGATGGCAGGTATATTTTGATAGTGACACAGATTCAAGACATACAGTGGGGGTTTCAAAAGCTATTTACATTTTGACCACCCTACCTAATTCTATTTTTCAGACCAAATTCCTTCTCTGATTAGTTTCAGAATGGCAATCTTAACAAAGACAAGGAAAATTCCAAGATTGTGCTTGTCCTTACCAAACCATGTGGCTTCATGATGGCAGGTATATTTTGATAGTGACACAGATTCAAGACACAAGAAAAAGATTTTCCTCAGTTTTTCTCTATATTAAATAAAAGATCCTCCTAAATTTTCATCTATATTTGCTTTCATTTGCATTCCCTTTTCTTTTTAGTTTTAGCTAAAATTGAGCCTCTCTAGAATTAATGTCTACATCCAGCCAGTTTTCCTTTAGCTCACTTATTTTTTATGTTAATAAACCATTTTATTTATGATGTATTGTACAATAAGATTTCATCCACATGATGTTTTTCTTTGCATTTCTTCACAATGTCATCTCTCTATCCTAGAATTATTTCCCTTTATTTCATGAAAATCCTTTGTGTATTCTTTTTTTGTTGTTTTTGTTTTGTTTTTTGTTTGTTTGTTTTTGAGACAGGGTATATCATTGAGACTATGTAGTTGAGACTGACCTGGAACTCACTATGTAGCCCAAGCTGGTCTCGAACTCACAGCGATCCTCCTGCCTCAGCCTCCCAAGTGCTGGGATTGCAGACATGCGCCAGCACACCCGGTTTTTGGATAAGTTCTTTGAACATAGATGCACATTCATTCATTCGACATTTGTAATAGTTTCTATCCACTTTGGAAGCTGTCCTCAACCTTTTAGCATTACATTTATTGCACTTTATTTATATTATTATTACATTACATTCTTATAAGGAGACCACGATCTAGAGTCCTTGCATACACAGTTCACAGTAGGACTCACTCTCCTATGAGAATCTGGTGCCACAGAGATCTGACAGGAGGTGGAGCTCAGGTGGTAATGCAGGTGATGGGGAGTGGCTGTCAATACAGATGAAGCTGCTGTGTAGCCCAGTTCCTAACAGGTATCACACAGGTACCGGGGACCCCTGTATTTTGGGGTATTGAGTATGTGCCAGATTAATACTGTTAATTAATTAACAGTTAATTAATACTGTTTCTTTTTTAATAAATTGTTTAATTTAATCTTCACAATAATTTTATGAGGTAGAAATTATGATCACTCATTTTATGAAAGAGATCTGAATTTTATGGAGGTTAAATACATTATGTGAGGGTCTATTCCTAATAAGTGGTAGATCTTGGATTTGAACCTAGGCATTCTGATTATAGAATGGGAGCTCTAATTAAAGTGCTTTGAGTAACCAAGTAAATGATAAATAAAGAAACAAATCAGCAAACAGCAAAAGCATTATGTTCCTACTCACTAGAGCCTTGGCTCCTTATTCTTACCCCTCATCTCATTTTATCAGAACAAAAAGTCTCTTTGTTTATCCCACATCCTTGTACAAAGATAAAGTATAAGGGAGGCTGTTGGCATGTGTCCCAAGAGACAGTGCTAGGTGAGCACTGGGTTTAGTTTCCATCCATGAAAGTACTCTCTCTAGAGTAATGAAAAGTGGCCTGTTTTGGTAAACATCTGACTCCCAAAAGTCCCAGGTACTGAATGTTCTCTGAGAAGAAATTAGATTCTCAATCTTTTAAAATAAAATTATACCCATTCTTGCCCTCTTTAATCCCTTTTTATCAGTGAGGCTCGGGCTCTTTTAAATATATAAAGTTACCCATGTTACCACCTGCCTGAAAGCCTCAAGCAGGGTGTCCAGTTTAAGATGATGGACTGAATGTGCGAGTTTATTTCCTTTCCTCCCCAGGCCCCACTGAAGCTGACATCAAGAAATACAAAAGAAACGAAAAAAACCCAGTCAAGAAAACTGAAGGTGTTTTGTTACCAGTGGAGAAGATCTCAACACACTTCTGGGAGAAAGAAAATGGATGAAGCATGAAAATGAATTGAAAGAGTGAATTTACCTTTCAGACGGAATATAAGCTGATCTGAACAACATAGCCCAAAAGAGACTAAAGCACTGGAAAAGTCTATCGACTAAAGAATTGTACCAGTTGTAAAACTCACCCCCATCCTATTCTACCCTCCACCCTTGTACACAGAACACAAGTAGCCTCATATTGGTACCAGTTAAAATTCATTGTTGTTGTTCTTGGTGTTGTTTCTTGTATAAAGGAATTGAATAAACTGCCTGAGGAGAGGTAAGAGTTGGTGTTCCAAATCAAATTCCTCTTTTTGTTGAAAATAAGTACCCCCCAGTCTATCAGGTGACTCTACTGAGAATGAGACCCCTACTCAAGTACCCAGTGTTGCTGCTCAGGCAAGACTGGCTGGAGATCTATCCAGGCAACAGCAAAGGAAATCCAGCCAATATCTGTAAAAGGCAATAGTTAAAATTGATTATTAAGGGTAAATGTTGAGCTAAGAATCCCCAGACACACAGAGGGGAGGAAGAAAGAGCAAGGGAAAATCATTTTTAAAGAAAAGAAAGAAAGAAAGAAAGAAAGAAAGAAAGAAAGAAAGAAAGAAAGAAAGAAAGAAAGAGAGAGAGAAAAAGAGAGAGAGAGAGAGAGAGAGAGAGAGAGAGAGAGAAAGAAAGAAAGAAAGAAAGAAAGAAAGAAAGAAAGAAAGAAAGAAAGAAAGAAAAGAAGAAAAAGATGAAGAAGAAGAAGAGAAATTAAGGAAAGTTGAAAAATTCTGAAAACTCTGGAGGAAACAAAGACATCATGGTAAAGCAATCATATAACTTTGTAGCCACATCTTCAGGGAGAATTGCGGAGTATTTGTAAAATGAGAACAGGACATTACAGAGAAAGGGAAAATTCTGAGAATAACAAGCGCTCTTTGAAAACAAAATAAGACTTCCAAAAGTATTCAGTAAACAGGCTAGGAAATAAAGTAGAAGGACTCTCCCTGCAGATAGAGCAAAAGAAACAGAAAATATGAAGAAGCAAAAGAGATACAGATGATTAAAATATAACCATTAAGAGTTCCTAGTAGGAAGAACACAGAAAACAGTATAGCATGAAAATAATCGAAGAACAGAAAGAACTACACTTTCATATTAAAGGGGCCCAATACAGCCCATATCTAGATACAATCTTATGAAATTTGGCAATATTGTGAGTAGAGAATGATATTAAAAGTACCCAGGGAGGAAAAAATTAGATCATTATAATTAGCTCGACTAAAAAGTCATGAGAAATAAATTAGTGGCAGATTTTCATCAGTGACATGAATGATAGAAGTCAAAGGAGCAATGTATTTATACAATTTCTAGAAAACATTTGTACTCGAGATTCCACAGAAGGCAAACTGGTTAAGAATAATGTCAAAGTAATGACATTTTCTGGTGCACAAGTTTTCAGACAGGCTACTGCCCTTGTACCCTTGCTGAGAAAGTACCTTGAGGAAATTCTCCAGAAAAAAAAACTGAAAACCAATAAATAGAAATAAATGGGATCTAAAAAATAACAAACATCACCCCAGATTTCTCATTCCTGGGTAACAGTTATCCAGTAGCACAAATCACTCTAGAGTGATAAACCAAAAAGATGTCACTCTACAATGATATTTGATAAGCAGACCCATTTTGGATGAGAACACACTGTTTAGGACTCTCTGACAAGAATATGCATTTTTGCCTAGAGAAGCTAAGAAGTTGGAAAGTATGGAAGACACACACTGTTTATAACCAAAAAGAAAGAAATTTAAAATATACCAAAAATTTAGGTCCATTTATGAAGCAAAACAAAACAGGGCATGATTTTAACTATTCATGGAATATACAAAGACTCACTTTGACATGGGTAGTAAGTATATTCCCTTTCCAGTTATACTTACATGGTGATGTTGAGTGCGAAGAAAATACCTAGCTTCTACTTGCTTTTTTTTTTAATATATTTATAGCCAAAATCATGTAGATGCCATTTATTGGTCTTCAGTGTTCTGATATCAGCAAAACATGAGAGAAATAGTATTTTATTCAGAACTGAAGTTGAAAGTAACACTGACAAGTTAAAAAGAAAGGAAAAAGAGGTTAGAATTAGTTGGGAGGAAAAAAAAAGTGGGGCTCTTACATATTCAATGTGGGGATGAAAATATAGTCTTTAGATCATGGGACAAGAATTAGATAATTAGTGTAAAATCAATGAAAGTATTTAAAATGACATATCTATCAAATATGTGGGGGATGGACAAAGGAGAGGTGGGAATAGTGTAAGTGAAATTCTTATCTTTTGTAATGGGAAATTATTAAAGATTATCTAAAGTTAGTAAGTCAAGAAATTATTGTTCAAACATATTTAAAGTTAGGAAGTTAGTTAGCAGAAGATCCAAAAACAGATATTGTTAAAAGCATCTAAAGAATGAGACTAGGGATTAAAAAGGGTGGGATTGCAAACTCTTTTTCATTTTAAGTTTTTCTGTACTATTTAATTTTTTACCTTGTGCATGTATTACTTTGAAAAAATTTTTAATAAATGCAACTAAAAATCCTTTCATAGCTTCACACTGACTAAGATCCAGTTGACCCAAACCCTTCACATGGCTTGGAAGGGTCTCAGGTGTTTGGATTCACCTAACTTCAGAACGCATTACATCTCCATTCATCTCCAGTACCATCCACACTAAATATGCGCCACTTATTTAAGCACACTTTATATTCTCTTGTTTCTACAGGTGTTCCACAAAAGCAAAGCCCTCTGCTGGTCTCAGTCTGTCTGCTTATTGTGCTTACTGTCTAGCAGATTCATAGTACTGGTTGAATGAAGAATGTTTGAGAAGGAACTGGTGAAGTCTATAAACTGATGTTCTTTCCAAAGGCCTATGATGTCTGTCCCTATTCTAGGAAACACTTCAAGAAGACCCATATGGCACTGAAAGCTTTCTGCTCTCCTAGTCGCTTACCAGCTTTACCAAGTTACAGTCTTACATGTGGCCAGCTGGCATGGGAGGATTTCTATCCATCTGTCAGTCCCTTGATATGTTCTTTGCCACTTCCCCTGCATATTCTAATCTATTTTCAGCAATTTTCCCCTATAGCAGGGAGACACAATCAACTAATAGAAGTTGTCAAGCCACCAAGTCTTTTATGTCCTGCTATTCCTATTCCCTTAGTAGCTGTTTCTACTCCAACCCCACTAACATTTTTAGTTGAAGATAAATAATTGTACGAAGTCCTTTTCTTACTGAGTTACCATCTCCCCTATGTACTGTGCATCAGGATCTGGGGCAGAGATTTACTCTCACAAATTAGAGATGTTCTCAGATTGTTATTGTCACAGAAGTAACCCAAATTCTTTTATAAATTCCACCATACTGCTCAGTCTGAATTCTTGTAAAATGAATTGAATATACCATTGTCTAACTCCCAAGGTCAGCTGGTACTCTCAGAGGAGCAGTGGCCTTAGCCAATCTTTCACAGGAGTATTTATCAGAAATCCTTCCTACGTACTCTTCATAAAATCAATCCCTGACATGCTTAGTGCCTTAGTTAATATCCCCACCCAAAGTCACAGCCTTGCCTAATTTAGGTAATTTAGATGATGGCACTATTTTTGCCGACAATATAATATACCATATTGCATCTTTCTTCTTATTATTAAATTTACTGGTACATTTTAGGTATGCAATAGAGTGACATTCATCATTGGGAATTTGCACCTTTATGTAATCTACCTTGGTTCTTATTTTTTCCCCATTCCCCTGCCCTCCCTTCAACCCCTCCACTTCTCCCTATTTACATAGACTTTGTTTCCATTTTTTTCACATAAATTCCATTCCCTTCTTTCCTTTCCCTCCTGTCTTCTCTACACCTTACAAAATCTTTGGATCCTTGCTGGCTTCCACATTACAAAGGACTTCTTTGACCCACACTCTCTAGGTGAATCTTTGGTAGAGTAGGAACTGAAGATGACCCTCAAATTCCAAGACATAGTTCTTCAAACTGCAAACACACACAAAACAACTCCCTATGTAAGTCAAGAAACCATAGAAATGTTACTTTGCATTTGGATTCTTGTACCATCCAATGATAGCTAGAGGAAGCATTTCTTTGATGTGAGAGTTTGAGCAGTTTAATTGTTCATGCTCTAGATTTGGGTTGGTATCACAGATCCTCATTATGTTAGAAATAAACAGAATACATTGATGAGTGGATAATGAAAGGTAAATAAAGGGAGGGAAGCAACTCTAGCTTAAACCACAGCAACACTGCCACGCATAGTGGCATACTCCTGTAATCCCTGCACTCGGGAACAACACTGGTAGTCCAAGACCCCAGTGTATATAGCCCACTACACTCTGGCCTGGGCCTGGTGCCTGTAGGGTCTGTTCTTTCAACAGAAACCAGGAACTATGGAAGAGAGACAAACTGCTGCAAAATAAATAATAAGCTTGAATTAGGCTTTTGACATTGAATCACAAAATCACTGAAACTGTGAACTTGTTTGTAGGCTGCTTTAGACACCAAGGACAGACGTAAATCTCAAAGACTCATTGAAAACTGAGATAAACTGTAAAGAGGTAAGCAGCTGAGGTACGTTGGTGGCATTACAGTGACTTTTGGCAAAAAGCCTTGTGGGTCTCCAGTGCTGGAAACAGAAGAGAGCTCCCTGGGGTGAAGAGGGAAGAATATCCTCGGGTTTTGCCCATGAGGCCATCAGTACCCTCCAGCCAGTGGTGACCAGGAACATACCTACAGTTGGACAAACTTGATCGAGACTCATTACAGCAAGGAAAATGCACACCACAGGAATGATGGGCTTCTCAGTCTATTATTTAAAAAAAGAAACTACTGTAGGACCTTGGCTTTAGTTGGATAATTTGAGGGAGAATCTAAGAAGGCAAGGCTTTATTCTGGATCTCTGGTTGGAATGTCAATAAAAGTCATCTACAGGGAGAGCTGAGTAAAGTAAGCACAAAGCTGTCATTGGTTTTGAA